TCATCTGCTGCCCTGCCTGTCAGATGAAAGGAAGGTTCATACTCCATTAGCCGATATATCTTTTCATTCCTCATGGGGACCAGCCTGAGCCAGGACTCGGTCACCCCCTTCTCAGAAGAGAGCCATGCTCTGCAGGAAGCCTGTTTCAACCCAGGCGTCCAAGGCTGAACGCAGAAGTGTTAGGTGGCTGGCAAGTTGATTCTGACTCATGGCCGCCCCATGTGGCTGAGTGAAACTGCCCCCTGGGGTGCTTTAAGTTTTTAACATGTTTCATGGAATCAGATGGCCAGTCTTTCTCTGGCAGAGCCGTCAGGGAGATACAGGGGGCTGACAACCTTTCAGTTCGTAAATGAGCACTTAACCATTGCGCTACCAGGGGTCCTTGAAAGCAGAACTGTGTGCCCTGATTTCTTCAGGCCCAAGCTCTTCCTAGCTGAGAATTGCTTGCATGGGTGGTGTGTTAGGATGTTTATATCTGCTTTAGGGATAGTGTTCAGACTACAGGAGCCCCCCCACCCCCTTGTAATGCAGTGTATGGGAGGCCTAGTTCACATGTTGCTGTGGAACCTGGCCCAAACCTGGGGGCGCAGACTAAAGCCCGCATGCCTCCTCCCTCCACGACCCCCTCTCAGAGCCCAAGAGTACCCCACTCTCCTCCCTGGTGGAGCAGGCGTCCAAGAAGGCTCCCGAGGCCGCGACCCACCCTGTGCATGTCCAGACCCAGCTCCTTCAGAAGCACCTGACTAAACAGAGCCCAGGTGGTGGTGCCGGGCAGGCTGACTACGTGGGCACCTTCACTGGTTACTGCAGCACCCTGTCGGCGGTGCTCCTGCGCAGTCTGAGCTCGGAGCCTGGTGAGTCGAACTTGGAGGAAATGGAGTCGAGGCTGACCTGCCTGCTTCACGGACTGGGGTTAGGGCAAGCACAATGCCGGGAGCTAGACTAAGGCAACCCAGTGATGGCAGTAACGGGGGCATTTGCCAGGGCCTCCTGGCTTTCCCTCTAGAGTCTGACTTGAGTCCCCAGAGTGTGTGTTGCCTGTACTCCGTCAGGCTGAAGAAGGCATCAGTAGGCTGTGGGTGGCCCCACCTGCCTCTGGTCCCTTGGTGGCTGGAGGCTTCTGAGCAGTGGGGTGGGGGAGGTGCAGAGGAACTAGGGGCCATGATCAGCATGAGGAGCCCCTTCACCTGGACTGAGTCAGAGATGGGCCCCCAAGGGGTCTTCATAGTGACACGCCCTTTCTACCTTGATTTTGGACAGCATGGCTTTAAGCAGGGGTGTGTTAGTCTGGGTCTGGGTAGACTAAAGAAACAAATCCAAGGAGACTCATGTATAAAGAAAGAGGTTCATATACAAGAGCAATTGAATATTGAGAAAACATCCCAGCCCAGTCCATAACAAGTCCGTAAGTCCGATATTAGCCCATATGTCTGATACCAATCTAGAAAATCCTCTTCAGACTCACGAAACACATGCAATGACATTGAATGCAGGAAGATTGGTCACAGGCCAGTGGGTGGAAGGTATTGTGGATCCAGTGGCAGCAGAAGTATCTCAGTGCTGGCAGGGGTCTCCACGTGACTCCTCCAGCTCCAGAGCTCTAGCGTAGCTCCATGTGTCATGTCCACGGAAATGTCTCTCAGAGTGAGCCTGTGTCCTGCATCCAGCGAGCTATTTACCTCCTTAGCACCTCCAAATGAGGTCATCAAGCTACGACCTGATTGACAGACTAAACTCCACCCTTACACTCTTAAGTCTCAAATTGATAACAGATTATGTAACCTCCAAAGCTCATGTCTTTACCGTTGCAGATCAGGTGGCGGTCAAAGTAGGAAACCCCTTTGTCCTCCTGCAACAGAGCCCTTCCCAACTGGTGTCACACCTACTGCTCGAGAGACAAGTGCCCCCGGACAGGTAGGATGTGGCTTCCACGGGGCTTCCCATGTCATTCCACCCAAGACATCAGAGCCTCCTGACAGGGTGCTCAGGTGTCGGCACGTCTCCCAGAACTTGCCCTTAATTTGCATGCACTCTTAGATGCTATGTTAAACTTCAGTATTCTCCCCCATGCCCAACCTGCTCCGGGGTATTTATCCTGCAACTTTATTCGTCATGTATAAAAGGAGGTCTAGACAGAGGTTATTTAGCCTTGTACAAACCAGCACAAGATCAGCAAAGGCCATTGGTCACCAGTTGGAGACTAGTTTAGTGAAGCCCCTCCCCCACCCACCCACCCCCGCCCCACCAGGCACTTACACGCCACCACTGTAAGAGCAAAGCCTTTCTGTAGAGCAGGGTTCCTCAAACTTTTTAAACAGGGGACCAGTTCACTGACCCTCAGACCCGTTGGAGGGCCAGACTATAGTTTTAAAAAAAACTATGAAAAATTCCTGTGCACACTGCACATATCTTATTTTGAAGTAAAAAAAGCAAATGGGGTAAAAACACCTGGCAGGCTGGATAAATGTCCCCGGTGGGCTGCATGTGGCCCGCGGGCTGTAGTTTGAGGATGCCTGCTGTAGAGGGATGTGGGAAAGTCTCCCAAACATGTTATGTCTTGAAATAAAAAAGCAGGGCAGAGCAGGATGTCTAATACTTTCATCTTTAATGTGCATGGGCACGGTGGGTGCGGGGGGGAGCAACAGTTAAGAGCCTGCGTGGCCATTTGCTTGTGCAGAGCAGAGGGAATTCTGAGAGGGTCCGTGAGTGGGGTGGTGGTGGTGATACACCCAGGCCCTGCATGCCTCTTTTCTCTCCCTGCAGGCTGGCAGGCCTGCTGGCCCATGAGGGTCTTACCTTGAGTGTGCCACAGGTCATTGTCCACTGCTGCTGCGAGCCCCTTGCCCTCTGCTCTTCCCAGCAAAGCCAGCAGACATCATCCCTTTTGACCCACCTCAACCTCCTGGCCCGCCTACACTGCCTGGATCACCTCCCGCTGTCTCCTGCTCCGAGCTCCTCCGGGCCAACTGAGAGGACCCCCCTGGAGAAGAAGCCCCAGTGCTCCCCAAAGGACTTGGCACCCACGGCCCTCACCTCCTCTGCCTTGGCCTTCCTCAAGTCCCGCTCAAAGCTGCTGGCTGTGGTGGCCTGCTTAGGGGCCTCCCGCGGGGCAAAGCCCAGCAAGCCCAGCTTGTCGTGGAAGGAGCTTCGGGGCCGCAGGGAGGTCCCTCTGACTGCAGAGCAGGTCGCCCGAGAGTGTGAGCACCTCCTGGAACAGTTTCCCACACTTGAGGCCGCCCTCCTGGCTGCCTTGAAGCCCCTCCTAGGCTCCACCGAGTCAGGGCAGAGTCTGGCCGGGAGTCTCTGTGGTCGGGCCAGTCTCTCAACTCTCCTCCTGGGCCTGCATTCGCCCACTGCTGTGGATGTGCTGAGCGAGGCCTTCGAAGAGGCTCTGGTGGCCAGAGATTGGCTCCGAGCCCTGCAGCTCATGGATGAGTACGGGCGCGACGCGGCCGGGCTGAGCAGCATAAAGGACGTGGTCTTGAGCTGTGCTGCAGCACACGGTGAGCTGAGGCGGGGCTTCCTTTCCCTAGTGCTGGTCACAGCAGACCCCGACCACATGCTGTACCCATCATGCAGCATCTCACGCAGTCAGGAGAGCTGGAGGAGTCCAAGGCTCTGAGAGGCTAGGAAACTTGCCCAGGATACCTGTTGGAGCAGACCTGAGAACCCACATCCACCTGACTTTAGACAGGCACACATAACCTGTATTCACAACCATGCACATCAGAATCTCTGTGGAATTTAAAAAGCTACAAATAATCCGGACCTCAACCCCACAAGCCCAGGGTGAGGTTCAGGCCAAGTGTTTACTTTAACACAGGTGTCAGCAGTGGGACACTGCCAGGTGGGGCGACACCAGCATGGCCCCACGTTTCACCGTGGTGGCCCATGTCACCCACCCATCATGATGAGGCCTACGCTTCTCCAGAGAGGAGCTGCAGGGAGTCGCAGGAGGCAGGGTAGGGTCAGACTGCTCAGCCCATCAAGGGGGGTTTGATTGCTGGCCCAAACCATGGAAAGTGGCACCGTGAGTCACCGCACTGGGTGGCTCCAACCCTAGTGACTCCACTGGGAGTCAGCAAGCTTTCTCGGAAGGACTTCGCCGGCCACACTGTCACAGTCGCCATATCTCTAGCCCTAGAGCATGAAAGCCACCACAGACAGCACAAACCAATGAGCATGGCTGTGTGCCAATAAAGCTTTATTTATAAAAATAGTCTCTGGACCTATTGGACCACCCCTGCTTATAAAGCACCCCAGATTGTGTATGTGGCCAGCATTGAAAGCCAATGATCTATAACGCCCCACCAGTGGAGCAAGAGTCCAGTGAGCTAGGCAAAACACAAGCCCACCGCCCTGGACTCGATTCAGAACGTCCGGGACAGAGGAGAACTGCTCTGTGGTCGCTGGAACTCGAACAGTCTCGTCTTCCTCCAGCGGAGCCACTGGGAGTGGTGAACCACAGGCCTAAAAGTTAGGAACCCAGTGCTTAACCCCTTGTGCCACCAGGGTGTGCTGTTGAAAATACGTAGCTTATTGGTCAGAAGACTGACCTTAGTATGGAAAGAGGAGAACCCCTACCTGAGAAGGTGGAGGAATCTCGTGTGGCTCTGTGATCTTCATTGCTAGCAGGCCGATGAAATGTATGTTTTTCAGGCCGATGAAATGAATGTCTGCCAGAGAGCTCCACTAAGTAGTAGCCAGGGAATAAGACAAGGGTACCGAGGTTGCTCTGAAGTTATAGAATTGAAATCGCAGGGAAAATCAAGTCCCACTGAGGAGTTGAGCCTGAAACCGTATTAAATGCGGAGCAGAGCAGAACTTGGAAGGCTTCACTTTTCCTGTCTCTCACTTCCTTCCTTGTGCCTGCCTTCCCCCTTCCTTTCTTTCCTTTTGCATTTTTCCCCCATTCCTCTCCCTTCTAAAACTCCCAGGACTGTGATCAGGTTTGCATGAAGGGAAACAAGCTTTCCTTGTCTGTAATGTTACCTGGAGTATAAACCAGCTGAGGGCAGATAGCTCTTAGGGTCGTCGCCCAAGCTCCCATTCTATGTAACTGAACAAAGCATTTCTTCAGGAATAACCTGGCCTTGAAGTCTCCCAGTGCCAGACTCTCTGTCTTTGGGCATCTTTTTTCTTTTGTTTAAATTAAAAGATCATTTTATTGGGAGTTCTTACAGCTCTTATAGCAATCCATATACATCAAGTGAATCAAACATATTTGTACATATGAGCCATCATTCTTTTCTAGACATTTACTTTATTTTATTTTATTTTTTTAGACATTTACTTTATATTGAGCCCTTGGTATCAGCTCCTTTTTCCCTCCTCTCACCCCCCTTGTGACTCCTTGATAAATTATAGATTATTTTTATTTTCATATCTTACACCGACCACTGTCTCCCTTCCCCCACAGTTTCTGTTGTTCCCCCTGGAGCGGGAGGGTATGGTTATGTGGCAATCATTGCAATCTGTTCCCCTTCTTCTCCTCCTCTCCTCACCTTTCCCCTACCTTTCTGGTATCGCCACTCCCATTCCTCTTCCTGGATTCCTTTTGGCGGGAGCTCTTATCTCTTATCTGTACCCGTTGGGCATCTTTTTTTGTCTTGTAGACAAAGAAGGTTGGCAATACCTGTTTGCCGTAAAGGATGCATCTTTGAGAAGTCAGCTGACCCTACAGTGTGTGGACAAGTGGCCCCTAGAGTCATGCCTGGAAATCCTGGCCTATTGCCTCTCAGACTCCGCTGTCCAAGAAGAACTGAAGTCTGAGCTGCAGAGGAAGCTGGCAGAGCTGCGGGTATATCAGAAGGTATCTCTCATGGCACTGTGAGAAAGGATATAATCTTCTCCCCCTTATTGCCAACCACAGCCTATTCTCAGGTGATAGGAGATTTTAAGAAACACAAAACCTAGGTTTGGCATTGGCTCTACAACTGGCCTCTGCCCCGAGAGTAACAGTAAGGAGGCCTCCCATATGATTCCTGGCTTATGTCGCCCTTGCATTTTAAAGTAAATGGTTTTATGTACATAATTTGAAATGCATAGGTATCAAACGAGTAAAAATTATAACACCATTAATGTTGACTGGTGCTTGACAGTTCTCAAAGGTTTTTCCACATGGTACACATACTGTTGTGTATGCTTTAGGTATCAAAAGTCCTTTGTGAAACTGGTTTTTAAAGGACAGCTAAATTTCCAGAATTTTAAAGGATAAGTCAAAGTGACCATTTCAGAAAAGAAAGATTCTGTGGGGCGTATGTTACATTCCAGAGCAAGAAGCAGGAGACACACTTTAGGGCCCAGCTACGTAACAAGTCGAGGACGAGGACGTAGGCTAATTGTGCCGTCTGTATGAGCCCCACAAGGGAGAATGAAAATGGCAGGAGGGGCAGGATTGTGTTTCTCACTTCGTCGTCGCTCTCTGCATGCAGAGCTGACATGCTGCATACAAGGCACACCTGCGGAGCACGCAAACCAAAAGACTCTCCTGGGTCAAGTTTTGAGGTGAAAGAGCTTGGGAGAGGAGCCCCCAAAGGCTTGCACAAGCTGGAAGTCATGGAAACCTCCCAGAATTGCCCTATCAAGTGAAAGCCCCAACCCTCGTCTCCCCACTGAGCCATGACTCCCTGATCTCTGAAGGGGCTTCAGGAAGCTCTGGGGAAAATCCCACTCTCTTTTCATTCCATTTTGCCACAACTTTTTTTTTTTTTTTTTTGCATCCCTCTCATACTTTCAGGATAGGTTGTTTTGTAATGATGGGGAGAGGGTTTCAATATTTCCTCATTAGCTCTAATGACTCTTCTTCCTGGCCAGCTCCAACAGCCTGCCTGCTGGGCACAGGTCTGGGGCTGACCCTTCTCCTGGGAACCCCAGTGACTTCTTCAGAAAGAGACACTGTGGCAATGCTGTGTGATAGATCTTTCTGTCTTCCCGTAGATTCTAGCTTTGCAGGCTGCCCCCACGTGGTGTGACTGGCAGGCCCTGAGGAGCTGCTGCATTGAAGATCCATCAACGGTTGTGAACATGATTCTAGAAGCTAAGGTATTTTCCTGTGTGGTCTTCCCCTTCCCCACTGTCTCAGTAGTGAGCTCCTCAGCTGGTGGTGGTGACCGCTTTCCATATTGTCAGCGTCCACATAGTTGTGTTAACACTATGCCACATTCTTTTCGTGTGTGTTTTCTGAGTAACCTTCCTCGCTTTCGGTTGGCTTTATATAGCAGTGTCGGGTCCCATCCAGCAAGTGTCCAGTGACGTTGGTTACGTTCTTCAGAACTGGGAGCATTCTCATGATTTCCGTTCTGATCCTGTGGCCCCATGCTTTCTCATCTTTGCTTTAAAGTCATCGTTGGCCTATGGGTCATATAAGGTGTTATTGTTTTTGAAGGAGCATAGTACTTAAAAAACAGGTGTCTCATGATTTTTTTGAGCCAACTTATTATTTAGCTGCCAGGTGATTTCAGGGGCCAGAGTTTTCAAGGTTTAGAGCAGTGGTGCGCCACCTTCCTCATGCCGCAACCCTTTCAGACAGTTCCTCATGTGGTGGTGACCCCCCAACCATAAAATTATTTTCATTGCTACTTTATCACTGTCATTTTGCTACTGTTATGAATAGGGCAACCCCTGTGAATGGGTCGTTTGACCCCCAGGTTGAGAACCACTGGTTGAAAGAATAGCTCAAGGCCAAAGTCTTAGAGAGTCTTCCAGTCTCTCTTAGGCCAGTGGGGCTGGTTGGGTTGTTTTTTATGAGTTTGAGATTCTGCCCCACTTTGCCCTCCCATTCTCTCTGGGCCCATTTCCCACGGCCCTGACAGCAACAGTCAGTCGTGGCAGGTGGGCACCTTCTGGTTCTTCTGGTCTCTGGAGTGATGGGGGTGTGTGATTTACAGTGGTTTGTCCTGTGACTATATTCTTTTTTTTTAAAATCATTTTCCCATTCTTTTTCTCTTTTTTGTTGTGAAATTTACCAACATTCAGAGAAGTATAGAACGTAATATAATTGATTACTTTTGTATTTTTCGCCAATGTCACATTGTAACAACATGCAGTATGGTTTTAACCAAAATCATAAGGGCAGCCAGTATATGTCTTCCCAACCCCATTTCCCTCCTCTCTTCCTCAACTATAAGAAAGCCCTTATCCCCAGTTTGGCATTTATATTTGTGTATTCCTAGGTCACATATTTACCTAGTGACACTGTACCTCATGACCATCTATACTAGCAAATGTAACAATGTGTACACCTCTTAGCAAGCTGGAAAATATAAAGAACCAAACTCACAGCCAGTGAATTGACTCTGACATATAGGGATCCTCTAGGTCAGGGTGCAACTGGGTTTCCGAAACTGTTAACTCCTTACGGGGTAGAAAGCCTTGTTTTTATTGCAGGGAACAGCTAGTGGTTTAGAACTGCTGGTCTTGCAGTTAGCAGCCCCACATGTATCCCACAATGCCACCAGGGGTCCTTTGTCACAATAACCAAACTCACTGCTGACTCCTCTCGACCCCTGTGGTTTTCCGAGACTGTAACTGTTTGTGGGAGTAGAAAGCCCAGTCTTTTCTGTGGAGCTGCTGCTGGTTTCGAATGGCTGAGCACTCAGATCAACGCCCAACATGTAACCGCTAGTAGTATATCTCAGGCTTTCAACTTTTAAACTCATCTAACTATGTGTCTTCTGAAACTTGTTGTTTTATGGTTGTTGTTTTTTTCAATGAATCACATTTCTTTTTTGAGATCTAGCCATGTTGTTTATACAGCGGCTAGCTGTGTAACCATTGCTTATATGGATATAAACCCAAACCGATCACCCTTGGTACTGACTCAGAGGGACCCTGTCGGACACAGTAGAATTGCTCCTGTGGGTTCCCCGAGGCTACAAATCTGTACAGGAGCAGAAACCTTCATCTTTCTCATGAAAAGTGGATGGTGGATTTGAACAGCTGACCTTGCATTTACCAGTTGTAGTTCAAGGTGTAACCCACTGCATACACCACCAGAGCTCTTTTGTATGGATTGGGATCTCCTATCAGTGGGCCTCTAGGTGACTGTCCATTTTTAAATCTTTAAGGAGGGCTGTCACCAACTTTTAAAAAACTGACCACAGTTCCTTGTGCTCGTGGGTGGGGTTTTATACACTACGCAGGGTTTTGCTGTGGGTTGGAATCAACTCAGTGACTATGAGCTTGGCTTTGGTTTTGTAGACTTGAGGGACAGAGTAGGCCTACAGTGGAAGGATTGCAGCCTCACGCTCATACACAGGGACCTCCTCACCTCTATTAAGATGTTGCCAAGTGCTGCTCAAGCCAATTGTCCCAGTTGTATTCTCACCCACGGTGTGTGTGGCTCTGCATCCTTGCCAAATTCTGATATTATTTAGCTTTTCACATTATGCGAGTAGGCTGGCATCTCGTTGCTGTCTTAATTTGTATTTCCGTGGTTTATTAGTGAGTAAGAATGTGTGGTTCCTGAATATGTGAATATGTGATAAAGATGAATGTAAATATGAATGTGTGGTTACTGGGCCATTATTGGAGTCCCTAGGTGGCACTGGGCAAACAAGAGATTGGCAGTTTGATTCCACCTGGGACCTGGGGCTCAAGTGAAAGATCACAGCCCTTTGAGTGTACATTCCCATGCTAATGTCATAGTGAAGTGCCCACCGGCTACCACCCAGCTTTCAGCAGACTGGAGCCCACACCGAGAACAATCAGGCAAAAGCTGAATGAGTGACAGGGCCAGTGATTCAAAGGTATTGATGACGTGTGTGTTTCCTTCCAGGAGTACGGCCTCTGTGAGGAGTGGGGCTGCCTGTACCCCATTCCTAGAGAACATGTAATCAGCATACATCGAAATCATCTTCTCCACCTCCTAGAAAGAGGAGATTCTGAGAAGGCTCTGCAAGTAAGCCTCTGCCGCTTCCTATTTCTCTTTTGGGGAGGGAGAAGCTTCGTCTGACCACTGGGCCAAGCATCTCAGATCTGCCCCTCAGATCTGACTGGAAGGTGCCTCCCTCATGCTCAGGTGCCCCTTGAGTAGGTAGGCTCAGGAGTCTGCTCAACTCTGGTCTTGTCAAATCATTCCAACATTTATGACGCTGCCAGGGTGAAAACTGAGTAGACAGAAGGGATGAGTGCAAATGTTGATTTCTCAATAAGGCCCCTTAAGGGATCTTCGTAGGAGCCCTGGTGGCGCAGTGGTTACAAGTTGGGTTGCGGTCCACCAGGTCCACAGTTCGAAACCACCAGCTCCGTGGGAGAAAAAAGGAGCTTTCTACCCCTGTAAATAGTGACAGTACTTGGAGACCCCCGAGGGCAGTTCTGCCCTGTCCTCTAGGGTCACTATGAGTCAGAGCTGATGAGAAGGTAGCGAGTTCGTTTGTAAAGGAATGTTCTATAGACCTTACCGGCTCCCTTTACCTGTTTCTGCAACAGCTCCTGCAAAGGATCCCTGACCCCACCATGTGCCTTGAAGTCACTGAGCAGTCCCTTGACCAGCACCCTAGCCTGGCCACTTCCCACTTCCTGGCCAACTACCTCACCACCCACTTCTACCGACAACTGACTGCTGCCCGGCACCACGAAATCCAGGCGCTGTACATGGGGTCCAAGGTAAGGAAGCAGCAGGGCCAACAGGATGTCCACGGATATCACCTTGTGTCGCCCATTCTGAGTGAAGACTCCAATGGACAGGATGGTGCCATTGAGCATCAGGTAGATCAACCACACCCGGAGGGTGTAGGCCAGGGGACAGCAAATGACGGCCTCGGGGCCACAGCCGGTCTTCTTCCTGCTTTGGTAAAGCAAGTTTTATCGGAGGAAGAACACCCACTCTTTTTATGCTGTTGCCAAAGTTGAATAGCAAGTATTTACTGTCTTGCTCGTTGCAGAAAAGCCTCCCCACCCCTCCTCTTGGGCAAGGTGCTTGGAGTACTTCTTAATCACCACCTGCAGGGTTTGGATGGGCATTCGGCCCTCTTTCTAAAAGACTACTCCCAAGTGTCAGGAGTGGGCTGTCTGGGTCTGCCTTTCAGTCTAGCACACTTCTTCTCTTCCCAGTAAGAGTCTCAGATCATTTTCTACAACTGGTGTACTGTTTCCTTCACTCTGTGAATCCTCTCCCCCACCCCCTGCCCCCCACAAACAGATTCTGCTGACCCTGCCTGAGCAGCACCGAGCCAGCTATGCCCACTTGTCCTCTAGCCCCCTGCTCATGCTGGAACAGCTGCTGATGAACATGAAAGTGGACTGGGCCACTGTGGCTGTGCATACGCTGCACCAGCTGCCAGCTGGGCAAGAGATTGGCTTCACCATGGAGGAGGTTGACACGCTGCTTTCCCAATATGCCGGGAAAGCCCTGGACTTCCCGTACCCTCTGAGGGAGAAACGATCAGGTAACTTCCAAGAAGGCAACTTTTCCCTCCCTTCTAAGTGGGGATTTACTTGGGGCAAGACATCCCCATGTGCATTCTCACGTGTATCACTTGTATCATGAGAGTGAAAAGAGCCCACTTCAGGAAAGATAGCTCTTTATTGTAAAAGGAAGAGGACTTGCAAGAAGTAGCAGGCTAACCAGAACTAAAGAGTAGTGGGATGGCTGCAGGTCAGCTCTGGTGGGGTGGTAGATTGCACGTTGGCCTACTAACCAGAAAGTCAACAGTTCAAAACCATCAGGTACCCCACAGCAGAAAGATGATGCTTTCCACTGCCATAATGAGTTACTGTCTCGGAAACCCACAGAAGGCAGTTCTACTCTGTCCTGTTCAATCACTGTGAGCCAGAATTGAGATGCCCTGGTGGTAGTGTTGGGTCAGCATTGAACTGCAAACCACAAGGTTGGTAGTTCACACCCACCAGCCACTCCTTGGGAGAAAAATGAGACTATCTGCTCGCATAAAATTTACAAGCTCAGAAACCCTATACAGGGCCCATATGAGTCGGAAGCCACGGGATGGCCTTAGGTTTGTTTTGGTTAGATAACCACTAAGGAGCCCTGGTGAAGCAAATGGGTCATTCAAACACATGCAATAGCTTCACGTGGGGGAAGATCTAGCAATCGACTCCCATATATATAGTTGTTGTTCGGTGCTGCCCCACGGCATAGCCACCCTATGTGCATTAGAACCAAACACCCTGGTCCTGCACCGTCCTCAGAATCCTTGTCTTGTTTGAAAGCAGCGTTGCAGCCACTGTGTCAGTCCATTCCATTCTTCTTTGTCACTGACTCTCACTCTCCCTAGCATTATGCCCTGCAACAGGGACTCATCCCTCCTGAGAACATGTCCAAAGGCCCTAAGGACTCTCCAGCCTCCATTCCAGAGGGCATTCGGATTGTAGCTCTTCCGAGACAGACGTGTTCCTTCTTCTGGCAGCTCGTGGTACATGCAGCATTCTTCACCAACACCACAATCAGATGAATTGATGCTGGGTCTTCCTTATTAATTGACCACCTTCCACATGCATGTGAGGCACATATCTGACCCTGCTTTGGGTCAGATACATCTTAGTCCTCAAGGTAGCATCTTGCCTTTTAGTACTTCCAAGACCTGTTTTGCAGCAGGTTTGCTTACTGTGCCATGTCATTTCGTTTCTTGGCTGTTGCTTTCATGGGCAGTAATATTGTGGACCCAGTGAAATGAAATGTTTGACAGCTTCATTATTCCCTCAGTTTATTAAGTTGTTGCATATCGGTCCAGTCGTAAGGATTTTTGTTTTCTTTATGTTGAGATGTGATCCACACCGAAGACTGCAGTCTTTGATCTTCATCAGTTAGTGTGTCAAGTCCCCTTCATTTCAGCAAGCCAGATGATGCCACTTGCCTATTGCAAAACATATTGTCTTCCTCTAGTCCTGATACTGTGTTCTTCTCCATTCAGTCCAGCTTCCCAGATGATTTGCTCAGCACCCAAATTAGTCTGGTGCAGGGTTTCAACCCTCAGGCACATCTTTGCCGATTTCAAACCGAGAGCAGTATCTCCTTGCTCTGTTTGGTCACATCTCTTGAACAGGTGCAGATATGGATCTCTTCCCTTCGGTTGGCCGGCTAGCTGTCTACAAAAGGTCTTCCACGTTGCTGTAGGCAAAGCAGCGGGGTAGCAATCCCTGCGGTGCTCTCAAGGAGTGTTTCCAGCGCGCAACTTTTGTGGGAGCATCTCAGTTGGCTTTCCAGCATTCCGGGAGCCTTGCTTTTCTCCGGTGCCTTGAGTGCAGCTCAGCCTTCAGTACGTCCTGTAACGTTTGAACATTGACCATGCACTTTGACACTCGGCTTCTGTATTTCTCCCATCTTCCCTTGATTCTTATTACATCATTTAGTACTTTGCCCATAGAATCCTTCAAATTGACAGAGACTTGAGTTTTTTCTTCAGTTCTTTCAGTTTCTGGAATTCCAAGCATTTTCTTCCCGTTTGGTTCTCTCCAGGCCCTTGCTCATTTCATTATAATATCTTATTTTGACTTTGTGAGTCTCCCACTGGAATCTTCATTCAGTTTTTGTTTTTGTTTTTTAACTTCATTTCTTCTATATCCTTTAGCTACTCTACATTCAAGAGCAGGTTCAGATAGTCCCCTGACATTGATGTTGGTCTTTTCTTTCCTCCCTGCCTTTTCAATGACCACTTTCTTCATGTCTGATGTCCTGGGTGTCATTTCACTATGTACCCGGTCCTCAGGCATCAGCATTCATTGTGTCAACTCTATTCGCGAGATGACCTCTAAATTCAAGTGGGATATTCTCAGCTTCGGACTTTCACTCTTGTGGGCTCCTTTCATTTTCTTCAGCTTCAACTTGAACTTCCACTTGAGCAATTAATGGTCTAGTCCACAGCCAGCCTTTGACCTGTTCAGACTGATGTTATAGAACTTCTCCATCATCTTTTTCCACAGATGTACTCTGCGTGATCCTGTGTATTTTATCTGGTGACGCCTGTGTGCAAAGTAACTGTTTACATTGTTGAAAGAAGGCATTTGCGCCGGGGGTTTAAGTGGAGAGAAAATGTTTTTAGAATGATGTACAAATGCGCTTTACACAATTGATGTGTGTATGGATTGCAATAACAGTTGTATGAGCCCCTAATAAAATGTTTAAATAAATAAATAAATGATTTTTTTAAAAAGGAAAGAAAGAAGGCATTTGCAATGAAATCACTGGTCTTGCAAGAGTCATCTCCATCATTTCTGTCGCCAAAGCCATATTTCCCAACTACCAATCCTCCCTTGTTCCCAACTTTCTCTTTCCATCCACTAGTAGTTATCATTGCATCTTTTTTTTAATTGATGCATCTTGATTGCATGTTTAATTAATTTCAGGCTGCAAAAATTGGTAAAATTTTCACTCTTCATCTTTGGTGTGTCTATATGAAAAACAGGCATATTAACTTGATCTCTCTTGTCGGTGTGTAGATGTTACCCTATCACTGGCAGTGCTGCACTTCAGGGTAGAACTTGAAATGTCTTCCTTGTGGTGACGGTGATGCTATCTCCTTTCCATTTCTCCTTCCCACCATATAATTATCAAATTCAAAATGACCAGTAACCTGTCCATTCCAGCTCACAAATCACTGCCTAGGATATCAACCTTTACATGTTTTCTCTTTTATGTTTGAGCACTTTCCATGTTCCTAGATTTATACTTCGAACATTCCACATTTGGATTAGTAAGAGATATTTGTGGCTGTTCGTTCTCATTTTGAGTCAGGCCCCATCAGCAGATGAAGGTCCAGAAAGCTTGGCTCCCTCCGCGATGTTACCGTCAGCTCTGCTTGGAGGAGGCGGCTCTTCCCCAGGCTATTTTAGTGCCTCGCAACCTTCCGGGCTCGCCTGCCAGCGCTATCAGATGCTGTTCTTCTGCGAGTCAGAAGGTCTCCACTGGTCAGCAGTTTTGGAAATTGAGTGCCAGGTCCTTCCTTCTAGTCTGTGTTAGCCTGGAAGATGTACCATGGGTGACCTTGCTGATACTGTAAATACCAGTGGCGTAGCTTCCAGCCTCTCAGCAACATAACAGGACAATGACCTGACCAACCAGGGGTGACCTATAAGGATTACAGCCGAGGAAACTCTCCGGGGCAGGTCTACTGGTCACATGCAATCTCCATGAGTAGAAATCTACCCGACTGCACCTAGCAACCACAAATAGCCCCTGGGTGTTTGGTAAAGTTAGAGGGTTGGCGGGACTGAGGGAAACCCTCCATGAGAAGGGTTAACACACACACCACCCCATCAGGGGCTCCGCCACACCCATGAGCCCAAAGGAGGCACATCTAGAAGGCTCACCTGAGGCAGAGCTGACAACTAATGCCAGCTGCGTGCAGAATCACACAAACACTTGCAAGAAAAGAAATGATCTGTCTGCCCTTGATGCAACCGGCCGTAAGTGTCATTATTTTGTGAAGAGGGTTTGCTCTACTGCCAGAACCACATCAGACGTCACCTGTGTGTGAGCCGGCTCAGCCTCTTCTAGAATGAAGAAAACGAAGTCAGTACGGGCTGACTTGCCCGCCAGCTCTATTTGCCTCCTTGCCACTCCTTGAAAAGGCTTCCCCTTCCTTCTGGCACGTTTAGACTGACTTGGTGAAACTCCGGCGCCAGCTCCATGAGCTCAGGTGCCTATCCTTAGTCTGTTTCTCCAGCAGCTGAGAAAGCATGATGCTGCCTCCCTGCTGAGCACCACCTCTACCGGGGCCGTCCAACCTAGCATGCGGAATAATGGATTGACAGTCAGCACAGCCAATGGGGCTCAGCGCCTAACCCAATTCATAAAGATGTTCATAGCCAAACGGCATTTTATCCACATCTTCTCTCTCCGCAGATTCTGGGATTCACCTCTCGGAACCTGTCAGTCAGGTTTCAGACCCTGAGACCATGACTAGATCACCATCAGCCGAATTCTCTTCTGCCTCTTCTCCTGGTAAGCCTTAGAATCCTACCAGTTATTTGCATCAAATGCTCAATTTCTGTTTATTTGACTTCTTTTTTTCATTTCCAGTGACAGCATTCTTCCTATTATTTCTTGGTTTTGTTACAGCTTTGCATATTCCAAGGGATTCAAAATAATTAATCCAAATAATTAGTCCTCGGGTTTATTCTGCCTCCTCCACAGGCTCGTTTAGGGCCTCCACCCTCCAGGCCACCCTTTTCCTCTCTGCTCCTGTCCCTCACACCATCGTTTAGACACTCAGGAGAAGCTCAGCGAGTGTTTGTTTTGCCAGACAGACAGAGGACTAGGGTTCTGCAGCGAGCTCTATAATCTTTATTTCTTCTGGGTCCTGCTAAGAGTTGCTGTATTTCTCAGTTCTCTTTGTGCGTGAGCTGCCCACCTTACTAAGTGACTCAGAGAGATCTCCTTAGATGCCATGAAACAAAGATGAGGGCATCTCCTGCCCCTCCTTGGAAGAAAGAGCCATAATTCTAACCAGCAGCCCTAAGGAGAGGTCAGTTCTCTTAAGTTTAGGAGCAGTTTCCTACATCTGCATTAGGTAACCTGGGCAACTGGAATTTTTCTACCTGCTGCTTATGGAAAGTTTAGAACACACAAGAATGGAGAGAGTCATCAATGAGCCTCACGTACTCACGACTCAACTACTATAATTTTCATCTCTTGATGACTCTTCTTGCCTTGTCTCTGTGCCAGCCTTTCACCGGATTATTTTGAAGCAAACCCTAGCCCATCTTGTCAGTTACTCATCAATATTTCAGTATACATTTCTAAAAGATGAGGACTTGCACAGACATAGAATCATGGCCTCATTATCATAGCTAAAAATGAATTGACAGCAAGTCCTTATTACAGTCAGACAGCCAGTCAGTGTTCACATTTCCTCAATTGTCTCATAAAGATTTCTTCACATGTGCTCTCACCGGAAACTAACTCATTATCAGCCTGGCATTTGGCAGAAGTATTTCATGTCTCTTTTAATCAATAGATTGCTTTGCTTTGATTTATTTGTTTGTTTGTTTTCCGTTCGCATATTTTTTTGCTTTGTGGAGGCAATGTGGCCATTTGTCCTACAGCTTTCCACCTCTTGGAATTTGCTGATTGCTTCCCTGTGGTCCTCTGGGCCTCTGGTCCCAGAACTTCCAGTACACTGACAGTTAAATCTAGAGTTGCACTTGATTCAGGCATGACAGTTTGGGATACATATACCTGATGGTAAGGAGCCCTGGTGGTACTTCCTGCGCATTAGGCAGTGGGGTGCTAACTGAAAGGTCTGTGATTCAAACCTATCAGTGCTCTGTGGGAGAAAGATGGGGCTGTCAGCTCCCATAAAGATTTGCAGGCAACATGGCCAGCATCTCCTTGGGATAGAGATGAGGCTTTCTACTCCCATGAAGAGTTACAGTATCAGAAATCCTCAGGGGCAGAGTTCTACCCTGCCATATAGGGTCACTGAGTCAGCATGGACTTTATGGCAGCGAGTTTTTGGTTTGGAAAACCTATAGAAGGTCATTATGAGTCAGAATCCTCTCACTGCCAGTGAGTGGGTATATCTGATGCTGTAGCGCTGTGCCCCTCCTCCAGCAGGCACTCAGGGTTCAGCTGTCTGTCTTTCATGATGCCAACAGCAGTTAATGGCCTCTCATTGGATCCCTTATTTCAGGGGAGCCTGCCAACTGGTGATAACTGATTCTAGCCTTCTAGCTTAATCTGTTAGCTAGAAGACTGATCAGCTTTGATCCTGACCTCTGACTCTGACCCCCAGGGATCTCCACTGTACAGTCCCCGAGCCCAAAAGAGAAGATTTTCCCACCGAGTCAGCCCCTGCTGGAGTTTGTGCCCCCAGCGACAGCCCCTACCCGGCACCAGTGGGTACCAGATGAGATGGAGAGCGTCTGCATGGTCTGCCGTAGAGAGCACTTCACCATGGTGAGTAGGCGGCATCTTTCCAGTTTTACCAGCCAGAGAAGCTCTGGAGCCAGAACTGTCAAACCTAAGACTGGGTTTTATCTTCAAGTGGATTATAATATAGTTTCTGGACTTGGACAGGTGGTAGGTGTCCTCAAGTAGCTTTAAATTGACAATTGTTGCCATTCTCATGAAACAACTAAAAAGAGGCAATGGAGTGTAGCAGGAAGAGTCCCCAAGGGTCCACAGATCTTGCTTCCAGCTCCCAAGTGTAGCACTACAAGACAGTGACCTGCTAGCAGTTCTGCACTCTGGTCTGAAGAGAGAGGACCTGGCTTCCATTCCTGGCTTGGCCTCTTCTCAGCAGTGTGACTGCAAACTTCTTCCGTCGTTGCAGATGCCCACTGCTAAGCAGATCCCAAAAAGTGAGCCAGTTGCCACTGAGCCCATTCCAACGCATAGCAATCCCAAGGGTTTGAGCTAGAACTCTGCTCCATAGGGTTATCAGTGACTGTGGTCTTTCCTGGTATATTAGCAGAGCTTTTCCTGAAGCACCTCTGAGTGGATTCAAACTGCCGACCTTCCAGCTAGTAGCCCAGCGCTTAACAATTTGCACCACTCGTGGAGCTGTTAGGACTTAATACTCAGCATGGTGTGCTAACTGTCCGCATATTAACTGGATGCTGATGTAACTTGTCTGCATCTGTTTCCTCCTCGTAGTCTGCAAAAGACCTGTAATACTCTCTTCACATCACAGGATCCAGCCCACATCCAGATGGGTTCTAAGGGATGGTTATGTGATTAAAGGAAAGAAATTAAGAGAGAGACAGAAATTTTGGGGTGCTCACCTCCATGATAACTGGAACCTGGTCCAGGAGAGAGAGAAAAAAATGTATTCTTACATCAACTTATTTAGTCTTGGGTATGCAAGCCCCCCTAATTACAGGTAACCACATATGTAACAAAGTGGGCAGTCCCTTAGCCCTAGAGGTCCATGAGTTCATTGGGGGAGTAACCTATCACCAGTGCTGGCGACTGGTAAGGGGGGGTGACTATCCCCTAGCAGGAAAACAATCGCAACATGTCTGCTCCTATAGTGAGAGCTGCCGGCCAGATAGCCATCGGCCATGTGCTTGTAAGAGGTCACTTTAAGGCAGCACTATTGTGGGGATGAATCATAATTTTGAGAATGTGACTTAGACTCATCTCTAACTCAGAAGTATGACGGCCTCCCTCCACCCAGAATCCTGGCCTCCCAGGCTCCTTAAATATGGGAATAAAGAATTTGCCCACATACACTCTCTTCCTGGTCCTCTGTTTCCCACAGCGAGGAGGTAGTCCTTGTACCCACACTGTGGAAATGGTACTTTGTCATCCTCGTCATCACCAGTACCGTGGTGTGATCCTCATTAGCTGGGAAAGACTTCTCCCCATTGTTTTTTGCTGTCTGTTCAAATGTTACCTCCACAGAGAGAAAGATGGGCCAGGGCCTATTGCAAAACGGCCCATGACTCAGGCACCTCTGCCCTCAGCTGAGAAATACCTTAACATGTCAGCTGTGTGAGGGCGGGGACTCTTGTGTCTTTTCTATAGTCTCTAGGCCTGACCTCTGATTATGTCTTAAGCCACAAGTGGCCAATACCAACTTTGAAGGGGCTGATGACAGATAAGGCTCATCGTTTCTGCCGCCTCACCTTCTCGTCCTCTCTCTCTCTCTATTCTCTTCCTGTTGACATGCCTCAGTTTAACAGACGCCATCACTGTCGCCGCTGTGGTCGGCTCGTCTGCAGTTCCTGCTCCACCAAGAGAATGGTGGTGGACGGCTACAGGGAGAATCCTACCCGGGTGTGTGGCCAGTGCTACCATTACTACAATAAAGAGTGAGTGTCCCGCCACAGGTGTGCCTCTGCCGGTGCCCACCGGAACTTCCCCCACACCCGTACACTCCAGGGGGTCTCGGGGGAACATGCATCTCAAATCTGGGATGACTACAGAAACTTTAGGTTGACTGCATACGTTCACACCAAAATGCCATTATCTTTGCAGTGCCATGGTTCTAGACTGACCTTAGGCTACTAGGAGAGGAAGCAGCTAGGAGAGGAAGCCATGTTGGCTTTTCCAGACTCTTCCCTGATGTTTTCTGAGTGGTGCAGACATTCGGTTCTTCGGCCCTTCTCCCTAATCCAGCCAGATGTCGTCGTCCACCAACAAGCTCCCGTTGTCCTTCAGGGACATACTGGCGTCATTTCCAGCAGCTATCGCCCAGGCAGTCTTCCTGGCTGTTAGCCCCGCTCTCCTAGAAAGACTCCCCTGGGGAAGGCGCCCAGGCCTCTGCAAACCTCTTGACAGCTGGTCTAGGCTGGCTCAGTCTCACTCCATTTACCCCACTGCTTCTAGCAGCTGAGGATGATGGCCTGCGAGGCCAAGGGCACCTGGGAGTATGAGCAGTTAGTGTGATTAGAGTTCTCCTTCCAGCAATCACTCAGCGGTAATTCCTTGGCCCTCGGTATGTCCTCGTTTGTCCAGGGAGACAACCAACCCACAGACTGCAAGGATAGACAGGTGTGGTGGTAGTGGGCACACAAGCCTTAGAAGACAGAGAGGTAATGGGGGGGGAGCCAAAAAAAAAAAAGCAAACCCAGAAATGAGAGTAACAACTGCTAAGTTTGGGGCAGAAGAAAATGTGGATTAGTTGAGGAGCAGTGACCAGATGGGGTCAATGTACCCTGGGCTTTGTGGTTGGCAGCCGAGCAGGGAGTGGGTAGACAGTGACACAAAGACTCAAGGCTTTCTCTCTGGCTGCAGGGACCCGTTGACCTGCAGGCTACCAGTACTAGACTGGGCTCTTGCTCAGGGCGTGAGGTCACAGTGCTCCAGGGTGCTAGGCAAGGAAGGAGTTAGACGTCCTGAGCAGAGGTCAGGGGGAGCAGGAGAGGGAGCCCAGTCAGATCACAGAGGGCATGCTGAACGAGGAACGTGAGGTTTGCTTTTTCTTTGCCGTGGAGAGCTAGCTACCCAAGCATCTTAAACACAAGCATGACATGACCAGATGTACATTGTAGAAAGCTTTCCGAAGCTGCCAAGGAGAGTACACTCACTGCCACCACGTCGATGCCAACTCGTAGCAACCCTGTGGAGGATGCCGGAGGCTGTACATCTTGGCAGGAGCAGACAGCCTCATCTCTCTCCCGCAGAGTGGCTGGTGGATGTAAACCGCTGACCTTCTGGTTAGCAGTCCAAGGCTTACCTGCCAGCACCACCTGGCCTTCTTAAAGGAGCGATGAGGTTGACAGAATCAGGGAGACCCGTTAGGAAGCTATTGCAAAGACTTGAGCAATAAGTAATGGGAGCACACACAGAGAGAGTCGGAGAGTGGTAGAATGGGGTGGACAGGACCTGGTGAAAGACTGCAGAGAGAGAAGAATCCTGGACGATTTGATGATTTTCATAGGTAACACTGTGAATGCCAGTGCTGTGCAATAAGCTGAAGTACCAAGAGCAGGAGGAGTGATTCAGGACTTTGATTTTTCTTTCTCTGTTTTCAGTGTGTCAGAGGAGAATCCAGGACCTTCAGAAGGTAAGACTGGCTCACACTCTCTGAGACTGTGAGACGCCCCTGTCGGCTGTTTCCTCAGTGTCTCGGCTTCAGCTGAGTACTCAATGGCAACGTTGTTGTCAAAGGAAATGGTTGGCATTTCTATCAGCCTGTTTTCCCTAAAGGGCATCATGTTAATCATTGCAGTTGGCCATTGACCTCCAGCACTGTGAAAGATGGCAACCAAAGAAAGGGCTCCTCTCTTCTCCAATAATGAGCCTGATAAAGTATTTAGTGCCTCTGCTTTAACTCTTAGTTCACTGCGTAATGCATGGAGTCTCAAAAGCTTACAAATGCGCAGCCACATCATAGCAGCTGGTCTCTCTTTGCCTTTGGCATCAGAGCAAGGAGGGCCAGGAATAGGAGGAGCTGGGATGTGGGGCTGATTGCCTCCATGAACAGCTTCCTCCTTTGCCAAGCGACCAAAAGAACTGGGCAGGGCTTGGCTATCGATGTACTGACCATTTGGAACAGAAGAATTTTTATCAAGAGGAGGGACATGCAGAATTTAAATTCTCGTGGATGCTCTACTTTCTAGAACCCAGGGGGCTGCTGGAAGAGCCCCTGACTCTATTGCCCTGAGTGCATTTTTAAACCTTAAATCAAAACAATTCCCTGTCATCTTTCAAAAACCAAACCACCGTGTAATTTGACTAGTTAAACATGCTCAGCTTGAGCATTGTGTTTTTTAAAGAACTACCTACATGTAATCAAGTGACAAGAGTAACTCAAATGATGGGAACCTTGCAGGCTGTGGGCGGACGGACAGTGGGTTGATGTTAGGGAGGAGAAACAGCTCAGAAAATGAGAAGGTGACACACCTGGAGGAACATCCGCAGTGTGTCCATCTTGCTGTGTATATTTTCAACAACAACAGCAACATAAAATCTAGGAACAGAAAAAAAAGGCCCTCAGCTCTTAGTTGATGTTTCTTAGTTTTTTCTCCCTACGTTCCCCGTCCTCCTTCCTTCTTGGCCACCCCTGTTCACAGTCGGGCCTCTGCTTCACAGAGGGTATCCTCAGCGTTTCTCACAGGAAGTGCCAGGGCTGTATGTCACGTAGAACACCCACCCTGGTCTGTGCCTGGGTAAGGATGCTTGGGGTGCCTGGTACAGTCTCCTGAAGGAGACAGAGGGGACCAAGGAGAGGACAAGGGAGCGCTTAGACTGTTTCTGCCTGTAGCTTGCCCCAGCTCTCTCGACTGGGCGAGCCTGAGCTGCCACCCAGCAACTGACAGGTGACTGGCACTTCCTTCTCCCCCAGCCCCTGTCAACTCCAAGAGTGAAATGCCCCCATACTCTGCCGTGGTGAGAGTCCCCAAAGCGGCCGAGCTGGAATGGACTTTGGATCTGAACGAGGAAGAAAATGAGCTGGTGCGGAGTGAGTTTTACTACGAGCAGGTAATAACAAAGTGCGACCGCACCTTGAGTGCCCTTAGGAGGTACCAAGGGGCCCCTGGAGGGCACCAGCCATGCAGAGCTCACTCCTCCCCGAGAGGTGGGAGTGCAGTCCCACCCAGGGCCACATAGAAGGAAAGTCCCAGCAACCTGCTTCCGAAGAGCACAGGCTTGAAAACCTCAAGTGTGGGGTTCGATTCCGCACCCCTGGGGTCACTGTCAGAATCCAGGCGAGAGCAACTGCAAATGATGTCTAAGGCGTATGTGGGGTGGGGTGCGGGGTGCATTCAGAGACACATGAACGCAACATGAGACATGTGAACCATCGGGAGATGGGAACTGAAGCTCTTGGGAAATAGCCGAGGCAGGTTCCTGTGGTGGCAGGCCAAAGGCAGTCAGGAAAGGTTCTTTAAGATGAGCCTCGGCAGAGAGGTAGGTTTCCAACAGCAGAGATCGGAAGCTGTGAGAGGAACCGTACTGAGGACCTGTGAGACTAATGCATCTGAGCAAAGGCCTAGTGTCGGAATGCCACTGGGCCATACGGGAATCTGGAAGGAACGTAAGACGTTGATAGGGAGTAAGACGTGGGACTGAAAAAGGCTCTGCAGATGGGAACCTGAGCTCTGGTCTCAGGAGTAGGTCCGAGGAAGGCCTGGGTTCTGAGTGGAAGCACAGGAAGGTAAGCATGCTTTAGCAACGGGCAGCTGTGTGTCTAGGCAAAGCCTCCTGCAGGTGGTCGGACAGGGAGGTGACTGTCCTAGTCCAAGCCTCTGCACTAGTGGGACAGGAGACAGCCTAGAAAAGTTGTCAGGACAGGGACACAGCCACCTTCTTCCCTGCAAGGTGATGAGCCCTAGCAGCTAGAGCTCCGACAGTGCTGCTCCCCGGAACCTGGGCTCCTTCCGCCAGAGAAAAGGAAGGCTCGTTCCTGCCCCAAACCCAACAGTGTGCGCCTGAGCTCACCATTCCTCCCTCCTCTCCTCTCTCTCCTCCCTCCCTGGCCAGGCCCCGAGCGCCTCCTTATGCATTGCCATCTTGAATCTTCACCGGGACCCCATTGCCTGTGGCCACCAGCTGATTGAGCACTGCTGCAGGCTGTCTCAGGGCCTCACCAACCCAGAGGTGGATGCAGGGCTGCTCACAGACATCATGAAGCAGCTGCTCTTCAGCGCCAAGATGATGTTCGTCAGGGCCGGCCAGAGCCAGGACTTGGCTCTCTGTGACAGGTACTTGTACACCTGTCTCGATTCTTTCACGTGGTGGCCTTTTCTACCCAGGGAGCCCTGGTCATGCCGTCGTTAGGAGCTCGGCAGCACACCAAAAGGCTGGCTCTTATAGCCCACCCGCAGCTCCTACGGAGAAGAGGCTTGATGATCTGTTCCCAGTAGGCTGGTGTGGGCACAAATGCCCTCCAGTGGACTCCTACTCGTAGTAACCCTGTGCCCAGCAGAACGAAACCCTGCCTGATCGACCCAGCACCGTCCCTACCGTCTTTCCCCTGCTTGAGCCCATTGTGGCAGCCAGAGTGCCGGCCCACCTCTTTGAGGGTCTTTCTCCTTTACCCCGACCCTCTACTTTCCCAAGCATGAAGGCGGTCCCTTCCCAAGGACTGGTCCCTCCTGATAAAGCTTTCAAACGATGTGAGAGGATGTCTCAGCATCCTGTCTCTAAGGAGCATTCTGGATGCGCTTCTTCTAACACAGATTGTTCTCCTGACAGTCCATGGCGGTTTCCATATTCCTCACCAACACCACAATTCAAATGCATCAGTTCTTCTCCATTCTTCTTTATTGACGGTCCGGTTTTCACATGCATGTGAGGCGGTTGAAAAGACCGTGCCCTGGGTCAGGCGCACCTTAGTTCTCAGAGTGGCAGCTAACACTTCTGAGAAGTCGTGGGCAGCGAGTGTAAGATGAAGTTGGTCCATGGTGGGCTTCGGGGACTATGAAAGGGTTCTGAGCAGAGGAACAGACGGAAGAATGTCCTTTATGAATGAGCAGCAGGATAGCCAGTGGCTTCTAGCAAACACCCCTCCAGGTAGTCAGACAGCACCCTGACTGTCATAGTACAAGCCAGAAACAGCTCAATCCTGGAGGTCATTTGATTTCTTGACAGCTAATCTCGTGAGCAATGGCTGTAGATCCTAACTTGAAAACTCCAGTCTTTCCTCCGTGAATCACAGGACTGTGTGCGGGTCTGATTGGGAGGTATTTTGTGTTCTTACATTGAGAGTAGCCTATCCTGAAGGTGCAGTCCTTGATCTTCATCGCTAAGTGCTTCAGGTCCTCTTGGCATTGAACCCTATGGGGCAGTTCTGCTCTCCAGTACATGGGGTTGACCCCATGGCAGTGGGTTTGCTTTATTCTTAGAGGTATCTGTAGAGTGCTGGCAAAGAATATCGAAAGTACCTTGGACTGTCAAAAGAACAAACAAATCTGGCTTGGAAAAAGTACAGCCAGAATGCTCCTTAAAAGCCAGGATGGTAGGACTGGACTGCATCTCATCTACTTTTAAAGGAAGGAAGGGAGGGAGGGAGGAAGGAAGGAAGGAAGTTAGGAAGGAAGGGAGGAAGGAAGACATCATGCTTGGTAAAGTAGAAGGGCAGCGAGAAAAAGAGGAAGGCTGTAGACGAGCCGTAATGGCACAATGGCTACCACCATGGGCTCCAATCTCACAGTTGTGAGGATGGCAGTGTTTCGTTCTCTGGTACCCAGGGTCGCTATAGTCGAAACTGACTCCATGGCACCTGAGAGCCACATGGAAATTCACTGCCGTGCCGTTTTCCTCCCCGCAGCTACATCAGCAAGGTCGATGTCCTGAACATCTTAGTGGTGGCGGCCTATCGCCACGTGCCATCTCTAGATCAGATCTTGCAGCCAGCTGCTGTGACCAGGCTCCGGAACCAGCTTTTGGAAGCTGAGTACTACCAACTTGGCGTTGAGGTGAGGCAAAGACAACGCTTAACTCCACGCCACTGGAATGAGCTGCCATTGCCAGCCCTCCACTCTCCTTGGCCATGGGACCATGCAGTCTGTGGGAGTGATGGCCAGGGTGGGGTCCCTGCAGGTCTTTGGGAGCTCTCAGGCCTGGTGTAAGTGTCTCACATATGGAGCAATCTTTCCTCCAGGTCTCTACAAAGACTGGGCTTGATACCACTGGTGCATGGCACGCTTGGGGGATGGCCTGCCTCAAAGCTGGGAACCTCACTGCTGCACGAGAGAAGTTCAGCCGCTGTCTGAAGCCCCCTTTGGACCTCAATCAGCTGAATCATGGCTCGAGGCTGGTCCAGGATGTGGTTGAATACTTGGAGTCCACAGCTCGGCCCATTGTGTCCTTGGTAAGAGGCAGGGTGCCCAGAGAGGGGCGGGAGTGTGACAAGGTACCATCTGCTTTGGTGGGTATAAGGATCAGCTTAATTCCGCTGACGGGTCAGACCTGGCCCAGCACCTGCCAGGCTTATGCTTGTGGGTTTTTTCTTTCTCATTAATACAAACGGTGCAATCTGTGAGATACAGAACTCAACAGAAGTACCTCATCCTTCTAAGTCCTGAGAAAGTTTTCCCTCTTAAACAGGATGCACCTTTTTAAAAAATATTTTTTACTGTGTTTTGTAAGAGTTTACATGGCAAATTAGGATCCCACTGAACAATTTCTATACATATTGTTCAATGACAGTAGCTGTATTTTTCACATTGTATCAGCGTTCTTTTTTTTTAGTGGTTTGCTCGAAAAAGTATTCACAAATCATACACCTCCATGTTAAATCACCTTTAAAATGAGTTATATATACATAATCACAATCAGTTCCATGCTCCCCCCTCCCAGATTCCTTGGTTGCTCCCCATATCCCCTCATCCTCCCTGTCTCCCGCCCTACCACCCCTACTCCCACCCCCACCACCCCCACACACACATCCCAGATAAACCATCGCATCGGTTACTGTCTCTATGCATCTCTTCCTTCAGTGCTTCACAAACTGGGAAACCCCGCAGTAATAATAAAAAACAAACACAAGATAAAATGGCAAGAATAAAATAATAATATAAAAACACAAATGAAGCATAAGAAAGAAAAGACCACCATCAATATTTTAAAAGCCAGGGAAGAAATTTTTGTCGTGCAACAAGCAAGAAATACTTGAGCCTAGATCAAGTTCAGGTTGAGTCAAGATGGAGGTCAGCTGACCAAGTGGTAAACAACACCGTGTTCAGTCCACCTCCAAGTTTACAATCGTCGCTGTCTGATGACAGTAAAGCTGTTGGAGTCACTTGCTGTGGCTAGAGGGGATCTGCCAGAGGCTTCATCTGACTGCACACTTGACAGATGGATTTGGGCCCCCACTGTTCCCCACAGCCTTCTACACAGTGGGTGCTCACAATTTAAGCTCTGATACTTTCCCCTTTGAAATATCTGGATTTTGTTATTATCATCTTTGAATCACACAAGCTGATGAGCTTCTTCCATGGGGACTTAGTGGACTCCTCACTTAGATGGCTGCTTGTTTGAATACAAGCCTCTAAGACCCCAGACACTGTTCCAGTTGCTAGCCAGGCACCATCTGCTCTCTGCACCACTCTTTGCTGCAGCACCCTGATATTCAGGGATCCTTTCATGAAGTCTAGTGTCAAGTAGGACCGTTGTCAGAACTAACTGTTCTTGCATCGGGGGTGGGGTTAAATGGGAGTTCTGCATCCATCTGCTTGTCCATGGGTTATGCAGGCCTCTGGTTTACTTTGGCAGTCATATTATGTAAAAAAAAGCCCTACAAGACCAACAACAACAACAATAGCAATAAACCAGCAAACAAACAAACAAGGGGGGGATGCAATTTTCCCACTTCTCTAATTGCCTCTTTTAAAGGGAGACATTTGAGTTCCCTTTCTCTGACAGGTTTCTGCCTGATACTGTTTCCAACTTTTAGAGTTAGATAAATAACTATATGATTAGATAAGTAATATGGTAAAAAATAAAAAACATTTTAACAAAGAAGGAAAACTTTTTTAGAAAAGGAAAATTATTTGTAATCCGATTTAAAACGATGTCCTGTCAAGTTGGTTCCAATTTGTGGCACTCTCCGATGTTACAGGGAGAACTGCTTCACAGGGTCTTCTTGGCAGTAATCTTTACAGAATCTGATCACCGGGTCTTTCTCCTGCGGTGCCACTGGTGAATTTGAACTGCCAACGTCGAGATTCGTGAAAGAGCAAAAACCACTTTTGACACCCAGGTGCCTTAGTCCCATACCCAGACTTCATATTGAGGTCTTGGTGAGTTCTGTCTACTGTGTTTTCGAATAAAGCCAGAATGACAGAAGTATGATATTCAGAACTCCGTGTCCTGCCCGAGCAGGTTTGCACAGTGCAGTTTTCTCTGGAAGCATAGAACTGTTGAGTCCCGGTTTTCCAATATGCTCTCTTCTTCCCTGTCAGCAAGATGACGACTACTTTGCCACCTTGCGGGAGCTGGAAGCCACCCTTCGGACCCAAAGCCTCTCCCTGGAGGTGGTTCCTGAGGGGGGAAAGATCATGCACAACACCTACTACCAAGAATGCCTCTTCTACTTACACAACTACAGCACCCACCTGGCCATCGTCAGCTTCTATGTGAGGCACAGCTGCCTGCGGGAAGCCCTGTTGCAGCTCCTCAATACGGTGAGGCCCGCTGACATGGCTCGCCAAGGGCTGTGGCCACCTTGCTTGCACCCCTCGGCTGTAAGAGGAGGAAGGTGCAGAACAAGGGCTATGGGGTCACGTGAGCACCTCTGGGGGAGTCAGGTCAAACAGGAAAACTCTACACAGTCTTGATCTGGTGGGGGGTGGGGTGGTGCAACAAGGCTTCCCCTAGATCCCAAATCCTTCCTCGGACTGGCAGGGAGGAAGCCCACTCCTTCCAGAATCAATCCAAAGCAGAATCACACCGTAGCTAAGAGCACTGACCCTCCAAGGGGCGCTTGGTTTGGGTCTTGGGTGACCTTGGGGAAATTGCTCAGCCTCTCTGTCTGACCTGAGTGGCCTCATCTATCAAATGCTTAGAGCACTCACTATGTAGAATTATTGTGAGAATCCAATGAGCTACATTCATTAACTCTTTAGAACAGTGAGCGCCACACAGAAAACCCCGTGTGTCTTAGCGAGTGTGATTTTGGGGTACCTCAAGTGCTGACAGGACTTGTTTCTTATGTTTGTGCATGAGCAGCATCCTCTTGAACACTCACTGTCATGTCCTCGGCATGTCACTCTGTGGTTGGTGGTCTTTGAAAAAAGCCAAGAATCAAATAATGCTCGACAAGCAGGCGGTAACTACCCAAAGGATACCGTAGCTTAGAACTTCCTTGTGAACTTGGTTCTGTTTGTATTGGGAGGAAGTTCTTGAACTGGAACCTGTAGTGGAGAGATGAGGACAGACGTGGTCCGTTATGCAGGAGTCACCATAGAGAGTGCGCTCCCAGACTCGACGCTGCGGCGGGGAAGTGGAAGGTCCTAGCAGAGTTGGCGAGCCTGAGAGAAACGGAAAGCATGGTGTGGGAAGAGTGTCAGTATCCAGGGATACGCCATGCCTGTTCTGTGTTGGATTTTTTGGAATGGTACTCTTAAGTTGCCATTTATTAGGCCCCCTCTCCGCAAAAAATGTGAACCAGAGTCCAGTGACTTCCAAAGCCATCATCTTGGGATAGAAGGGATCTGGTTCTTCCCACACTGGGACATTTCAGTCTTAACTCCAGGGGGCGCTATGTCAGATCCTTTAATCTGCTACAGGTGTGTTTGTAAAGTCCATTCCCTTAGTGGGATTTCCAAATCAGATCCTTCGGCTGTGGCCTCTGAAGGAGGTTGTGCACTTCGAAAGGGCAGAGTCTAGAACCCTGACTGTCTAGCACACTGCCTGGATCCACACCTGTTGATTCCGTGACCTGTCCTCTGGGGATTGGTTACCACAGGGCCCAGAAGCACTTCCCACTTGCAGACCCC